CACGAGTGTATATGTCGGCCCCTGACATCACAGCTTTTAAGACTAATGTCACCTGAACTAAATTTGTTGAACCATCGTTGACACTTACGAACGTTCAAAACATTTCCATAAACTTCTTTGATATTCTTTGTGGCTACAGAGGCGTTGTTTCCCTTCTTGCAATCAAACAGCATTACATGCCGAATATATATATATATCATTATTATTATTGTGTATTTTAATTTCAAATGTATTTAATCAGAGAGTGGCCCACAAGTCATATCCTAAACGACCCATGATATGTTATTATTAGAGTGGCCCACAAGTCATATCCTAAACGACCCATGATTGTATTATTAGAGTGGCCCACAAGTCATATCCTAAACGACCCATGATATGTTATTATTAGAGTGGTCCACAAGTCATATCCTAAACGACCCATGATTGTATTATTAGAGTGGCCCACAAGTCATATCCTAAACGACCCATGATATGTTATTATTAGAGTGGTCCACAAGTCATATCCTAAACGACCCATGATTGTTTTATTAGTGGCCCACAAGTCATATCCTAAACGACCCATGATATGTTATTATAGTTCGTATTACTAAAGCTAGAAAATTATTATAGAGTCGAGTGTGGCCAAGTGGTTAGCGTGCCGGACTGTAGATGCAAGATTTAGTCGTTCGCGCCTCGTTATCGCAAATAAAAAAAATCGCGGTTCACGCTTTGTGCCATGTGTGCGTTATAAGAGAGACGGTCAAATCCCCCTATTCGGTCTGACAAGAGTTGGCGGAGTGTGGCCCTCGCTCTAGTCTATCACTTCAAAGTTAGGGACGGCTAGTGCAGATAGTAGGTTTACACGAAATTCAACAAAGAAACGGTCATAAAAGTCCTTTAAATGTAAGCAAAAATCTCAGGTGGAGTCGGTTAAATTTTTTTTAGGTACTGCTCTGCTAAAGTTATCTGAAAATAGTGCAGCTCGAGAAGGATTGTTTGTTTGTTTTTGAATTTCGCGCAAAGCTACACGAGAGCTATCTGCGCTAGCCATCCCTAATTTAGCAGTGTAAGACTAGAGGGAAGGCAGCTAGACATCACCACCCACCGCCAACTCTTGGGCTACTCTTTTACCAACGAATAGTGGGATTGACCGTCACATTATAACGCCCTCCAAGGGTGAAAGGGCGAGCATGTTTGGTGTGACGGGGGATTCACTGGAGAAGGAATAGCTGCCGTATTTCTGCCTGCGAAACATGCTTTCAACCGGTGCCTTTCAGAGTCTAACATTTCGAACTAACCCTTCCTGTAGTTATTCTACATGGTTAACATTATAAAGTTCCAAGAAGTTGATGCTGATATTTCAAAAATCAGGCATGCGCACACGTTCATTGCTGCAGAGAGCGTTAATATACTGGAAAAAACATTTGTTTTTCCACTCCAGTCTCGAGGTTGTGGTCATTTAACAGCCCCGAACGGTTAGCGACACGATCGTGATGGATCTCGAGGGCGTCGCTAGGCGCTAGCACACACGGGGCTCGTGCTCCTATTCTATTTGACAGTGCCCCGAATCCCCAATTGATGTCTCGAAAAAATCAGAATAGAAAACCATGATCGATACCATACTGAAATTCCCGCGTCTGTGGGCCCGCACCTTTTAAGCACCTAGCGACGTCTCTGATCGATATGTTAACCATTTGTCTTCAGGTCTATGTTAGGCCGTTACTCAGAAACTGTAGATAAAGTTGTTATAACGATTATCTAAGGTTCGCCACAAATCTTCAAGCAATACAGTGGTTTGGCTTGAATTGCGCACAAAGCTACACGAGGGCTATCTGAGCTAGCCGTCCCTAATTTAGCAATGAAAGACTAGAGGGAAGGCAGCTAGTCATTACTACCCACCGCCAACTCTTGGGCTACTATTTTTACTAACGAATAGTGGGATTAATTGAATGACTGTCACATTATAACACCCCCCCCCCCCCCACGGCTGAAAAAACGAGCATGTTCAGGTACGTGGATTCGAACCCACGACCCTCAGATTGCGAGTCGAGCACTCCCTTACCACCAGGCTCAGTAATGGTTTGTGTATTCCAGCTGCACAACGTAACCATATTCGTGGAGAGCGTACTGTACAGTGCACATGTTAGGCGTAGTCTCAAAATAAGTGCATTTAAAATAGAAAACACTAAACCGAAACTTTAAATTATTGGTGCTTTTAACCCGAACAGCAACTTTGGTGACACGTGGACTATCTACCAGATCAAAGGTGCCTAAAATTCGGGCATAGCCTCCAGTGTTCCCTCTAACCCGCGCGGCTGCGCAGACGCACAACAACCAATCAAGTGCCGCGCACTTCATTATTTCACCCGTGCACATCCTCAGTAATGGTAAGGAGTCTGAACACGTTGATGGCCTTAATGACCTTGGCAGTTGAAAGGCCTAACTCCCAAATGATCAACTGGTAGCATTGCAAAGCGGCCTAATGATCCATCAGGGTCGATGGTCTAAAAAAAGAAACTGGTAGCGCACATCTGCACATTGCCTTGATACTGGAGCATATGAAAAATTTTATTCCGCGCATGATTTAAAAAAAAATAGAGGGAGCATTGATAGTCACTTCTAATTTAGAACTGCTGACCAGAGGGAAGGTAACAAGTCATATTTCTTAAGATGATATTATAGACAGAGGGTTGGTTCTCTGTAAGCAAGGCTAATGGACCAAAGTCAAAAATATATCATTCTTAATTTGTGTTTTTAATCCCTTTTAGACTGTAAAAATGTATATTACCAAAAATTGAGAAGTTAAAAAACACATTTAAACATTTTGTAATTGGAAATTGGAGGCATTACCGTTTCTTTGTCAATTGACCAATATAACTTTGGCTGATTGTGGCCCAGTGGTTAGCGTGCCGGACTGTGGGTGTGTTATAAGAGTGAAGAACAACCCGTACAAATGTTATCACAGTCATGAGCATAATGATTGGATAAAGGAACACAAATGTATAGAAAAACCTTAGACCGCCAAATGCAAATCACTAAGAGGCCTCTCGTTATCGTGATCTAGAGAAAACGGCAAGGGTTAACGAAACACACACACACATAATTATTCTGAATCCTAAAGGATAATTAAGTTATTTTTATTTATTTATTTATTTTTAAATATGAATTTAAAAGTTATTTTTAAATATGAATATCTAAACCAAACTTTCATTTCATGTGACTGTTAAAAGACCTTTTTTTTTTTCTCACTTAACAGATGGCTAATTCTGAAACATGGACCAAAAGAGGCGTTATGCACAGGACTTCACGTGACAGCCCATCCAAAGGTTCCTCTGAGACAAAAAGCTGGTACGAAAAGATATTACGACAAACTCTTGTTCCTATGTTACTGATGGTAGTAATACCAAACACCGTGGTGTGTATTGTTTATCTTGTTGTTGAAAGAGGCAGCAATGCTATGACAAATTTGTCGGGAGATCTTCCTAAGTTTTGGAGAGATGCTTGGACTTTGGCTGGTGTTGGAGATGTAGAGGTGTGGGCAGTTGTGTTAGGCTTAGCGACATGGGCTGGACTGTCGTTACTCTTTCTTGGAGGGAGAAGATACGTAGGTCCTCCGACACACAATGGTTTTTGTCCTGAATATGTAAATTCGGGTTTTAAGTATTATTTGTTGTCCATGTTGGTTTTTGTGAACTTGTTGAGCTATCGCCATATGCTAGCTGATTACTCTGACGTCACGTCCGCGTGGTACTGGTACAAGAAAATGGTTCCATTCACAGGGGCATTAATATTATTTGGATTCAGCGTGTGCATAGTTCTTTTAGTAAAAGGTCTAATATCCCCTTCTCCTGGGGAATTCGGTTCCTCTGGTAATCCCGTGTTTGATTTCTACTGGGGTCTTGAACTTTATCCCCGCCTGGGTCGCTGGTTTGACCTGAAGATGTGGACCAACTGTAGGTTTGGTATGTTGCTATGGCAACTAGAAGTTCTTCTCTTCTGGAAAGCTCAGGTAGAATACAGTGGATGGAATTGGGCCATGGCTGTAACCAGCATTCTTCAGACTGTCTATATTGCTAAGTTCTTCTGGTGGGAGGATGGTTACATGAAAACAATAGACATCATTGTTGACCATGCAGGTGAGTAATATCTAACATTTTACTTATTTTTCTAATGTTAATGTTAACCAAAATTCCATCTTGGTGTCCCACAAATTCTACTTGAATTGCCCTGAGGATACAAAGGAAGTCCAGAAGTAATAGACAAAGTGAAGAGCACAAGAAACAGAAGTAGTCACAAGACTTAACTAACACACCAGAGGGACTTGAAGTCTGAGAATGCTTTATAACTTTTTCTCTCGTAGTACAAGGTGTTCCCTTAAATAAGCACACTTTCAACTGATTTTTAGAAAAATGACTCCTAGCGATATTTTTGTTTTCTTGAAAGTTTCACCGCAAGATTCTTGCTCTATAATACAAATTTGATTAACTTTTGTTATGATGGCCTAAAAGTTTTGAATTTATATTGTTTTTCAATAAAAACATCCCAAATTCAGTATAATCCTAATAGCAGGTCTCTCGCTGGGTTAGCTGCACATCAAAATCG